TATCATAGAATTCGCGGAATATCCCATAATTCCAAGGAACTCCTTGTTAGTCGCTGCAAAAATTTCCTTAAATTAATAGGATTTTTGTGATGTTATCTGATCGCCCTCGAACTACTCGGAACTGCACTGAATATAACGAAACAATCCAAAAATATCTAAATTTCTTAGAAGTTCTCTGGAATTTCTTGAAAATATCGGTGCTTGCTCAAAGTTCTAGCATTTTTTTTAATTAATGGAACTTTGTTGATGTTCTCTAATCAACTTAGCTAAATTTTCGAATTTTTTTAGTTCTTAAAATTTCCATGATATAAATTCAAGGTTCTCCAAATCGTGCAGGACATCAGTGGATTTGTTCTACTAGAACAACCAAGACTGGAATAATGTCTGTAGTATCGAAATATTTCCAATCAGATTCAAAGTGTCTATGTGGATCAAGCATGACCTATTGCTATATATGTCAGATTTTCAGGTTCTCCAAATGGTCCTGGAGATCAGTTTATTAATTGTTCTACTAGATCAACCAAGACTGGGACAATGTCTGTAGTATCGAAATGGGTCGAAATAGATTCATAGTGACTATATGGATCATGCACGATCATTCTTCTATTCTTGGTTAATCTAGTAAAACAAATTAACTGAACTCCAGGACGATTTGGAGAACCTAGAATATCCGGCTTACTTGGTAATTAGTCGCATATATACGATTCGTTTAGATTTGATAACCAAAAATTCTATGTTCATATAAGAAATGAAAATAAATCATGAAAATATCTCACATGACCATTCGACAGACCCCAAGGAATTTCCGTATAAATCCGGAGTGTTCGGTTTAGATCGGTAAGAATAATGAGAAAACTAGAGCCAAATGAACAACAAAATATATGACAGCAAAATAATCCGGGAGACAAAGATAAAAATGAATTCCGAAATATTTGTGTTAGCACATCATTTTCACCGCATCATTTAACGATTCCGTGAAAGTTCAAATCCGCAACAAATCCGTGAAAATCGTGAAATCCGCCAAATTCGCTAAAACCGCGCCTGTTGTAGCAGCCCTGGAAATAAGGTTTACATAGCGATTCACCTTAATAGAGATTTTCATTCGAACATGAACTTCCCAACAAACAATTTAAGCTGATTAAAAGCTGAATAAGCCCTTTTTTAACTGAAGAAGCATTATTTTTATTATTTCTAACATAATTTCCCCATAATTTCACAAAAAAATGTTAAATTGATATATTTGATTTATGAGTTATACATTTTTAAAGTTTTTGATGTCCAGGAAAATCTGACAACTTCAACTAAAATTTTCCGAAAAAATTTACCACTCCAAATTTTTTGATTTTTTTTTTGTCAAATGTTACCATACTCAAGTAACATTTTTGAATTTACCATTGTTTTGCCGAGATTTATAAGGCTTAGAGAATGCAGTTGCGGACCATAATTAAACCGGAAATGTTACTTGGGTTAACTCTACCTGCGGTCAAAATTACATAAAATTAAATTAAATTGTTACAAATCTCGGAACCAGAAAACGTTTTAACACTCCGTAGACTGTACTAACAAAAATAAATAAATTTAGAGATTTTATAAACTTATTATGAATCTGCCAACCAAGACAATGATTTTTTTTTTCAAATATTTTTGAGCATCCATAAAAGTGGTCAATCCATGAACCTGATCCTAGTGCTCCGTGGTTTTTTTTTTTCAAAAACACTTGGAGCTTTCATATATAAATTTATTTGGGGCCGCGGAGTTCTAGAATCAGTTTCATGGATGAACCACCTTTATGGATGCTCCGAATATTCTGGATGACGGTATCATAGCCAGTACTGTTAATTTTCATATAATTCGATTGAAGGTGAACCAATACAACCATTCACCAATTCGGTGAAAACGAATTCTCTCATGACCATAATTTGAAGAGCCCCTTTCTCATTCGAAGCTCATTGTCACTGTCAATTGAGTCACTCACTATCATTTCAGGCATAACATTTGATAACGGCACAAAAGCATATGTAAACAAACTTTCTACGACCCTTTACTCGCGAACCAAAGTATGCCCACGCAAACCAATACCACTTTCGGAAAGGTGATAGTTGCCCCTATCCGATGATGTTGTTGGTTTGCATGGGCGTACTTTGGTTCGCGAGTAAAGGGCCTTAGAAAGTTTGTTTACAAATGCTTTTGTGCCGTTATCAAATGTTATGCCTGATTTGATATACGACAGTGGAGTATGGAAGAAACCTAGCAAAATGGTCCCGAACAGACAAGTTGACCCGATGTAGGATCAATGTCGACCCAATGTCGTGTTGTTGTCGGGTCAATTTTGGGTTTATGTCAGGTCAACATCGAGTTGGAGTTTGATAGAAGTCAGGTTGGCATTAATTTTTCGCCGGAATGTCGACCAGAGGTCCGTTTAAGTGTAGGTTACACTAAATTGAATGATATAAAGCGTTTCTCAAATGAGAATGATCCATGCCTTCATCAACTGACTAAGCAACTGATATCACCCATTCGAAGGAGGTCCCCTTTGATAGCGAACAGCTGCTTTTCTCATTTTCATCGAAAATGTTCAATTGATTTTGAGAATTTAGAACACTGATCAGAGTCATCCGGGTTCATGTTAATGTCAAGACCCCAAATTCTGTGTTTTCGAAAAAAAAACTGCGGAGCTTTAGGATCAGTTTTATGGATATTTCGAATCTTCCGAAGGACGGTCTCATAGCCATACGGGTCCATTTTTATGTCACGATCCCAAATTCTATCTTATATCACAGTTCAAAGTGTTTAAAAAACCGCTGAGCTCTAGGATCAGTTTAATCGATTTACCATTTTACGGATGTTCCGGATCTTCCTAAGGATGATCCTATGGATTTAATAAACTTTTTTTATGAATCTGATCTGAGGCTTTGACATGTGTTTAGAGTCCAAGACCATGATTTTTTTTTGTCTTGGTTGTGGAAAAAGTCAAGGCTCTGACGCGAATACCTATGGAATTTTGAGGAAAATATAAAAAGAATTTGAGTGTTCATTTAAAAAAATGCTGAGGAAAATTTCTATAAAATTTTTGGAAAAATGTAAGGAGTTCTAACCAGAAATTCCAACTTAATTCTGAGATGAAGTCCCTAAGGAATTCGGAGATGAATTCCATGGGATTTCTGGGGAGAAAAATTATGTTCTGGATTGAATTCCTATTTTATTCTTAAAATAGTTACACGGGAGTTGTGAGGAGAAGTTCAAGAATAAGTCCTAGGCCATTTAGAGGAAAATTGCATGTGGATATTGAGGATAATATCAGGTCAATTTTAATGAGAACCCCTGGAGATCTCTTATGAGAATTGTAAACAGAATGAAAGGGAACACAATTCAAGTGAATTCCTAGAAAAACACCAAAAGAATCGTATTCTGAGGTTTATTAAAAAAAATGGAGTAACATTAAAAATAAATTCTAAGGAAATTTTCAAGAAAATTCCAATAGATTTCTGAGAAGAGTTTTGACTAGAATTCAATGAAATTTTTTAGAATAATTGTAAGGAATTGAATTCTCTTGATAGTTTCATAGGAATTCTAAAGGTGGATTTCGTGGAAATTGGATTCCTTAATTTTGAAAAATATATCGGTCAACGATATTTTTTTCGAACCCATGGACGACTTGCATCTCGATTTTTAAATCATTGAAAATTCATTTTGTGCTAACTGATTTAAACTTGAAGCGCTCTTAACCGCACGGTAATAGGGCATGCCACGGTATATGGGGTTTGGAACTAACGAGTTGCTTGGAAATCACTTGAATAAGTTATTATTTTTCTTAGGGTTGCCAAACTGCTAAATCGTCCAAGAGATAAGCGGAGAGAACAAATTCGGCAATATACGGAACAGGGTTTTATATACACTTATAGTAGTAGACTTGTCGATGCTGTTCGTCATGTTGTATCCAAATGAATATTCAGCTCACATCGGCAGGTCTATTACTTATGAGTGTATATGGAAACTGAGAAGGCGATTCCTTACAAATTATTTTCCAATGAGGGAATACAGTTTCCCATGCTTGTTTAATATAAGAGGAAATATGAAAGATGGAGCAAAAACAAACCATCGATCATCCGAAAAATTTAAAAAAAATTAACTTAATCGACTCCTCACTACCAACGTATGATCAGAATATGTTAAAGGTCCTGAACACATGAACTGTAAATTAACTTCAACAATTTGCTAATAGCGGCAGTAAATTAAAGTAATAATTTTATCGATGATCGTAGCTAAGCTTTGCAAATATCCTTTCCAAATATTCATACTCGGCTGAGTAACCTTCAAACATCACATACACCGGTTCAATGGAAATGTTTTGCTGTCCATTTTTTTGTAACATTTAAATCTCCCGTGGGATATGAAGCGGATTATAAACAGATAGTAAAGAAGTTCATTCGCTCGAATTGTGCAACACATGGAATTCGTTTAAAATTGAGCATTCGTTTGCGATGAAATCAACCGGAGTCCCCTTCGATTAGACAAAAAAATATGAGATCGTTTTTCGTATTAGTCACTAGGAAATCCACTAAGCTTAGCGTTTACTGTTACTTTACCAATATAACGTCTAGTGATTGAGTTCTAGATTGCAAGTGTTTTCTATCGGGTGAATGTGTGATTCAATACTTGTGGTGCAACAATACCTCCTTGTGCTGCGGTTTTAGTGTTATCATCATTGAATAACCTATAGTAATAGGTTCGACTTTGCTACCAATTTCATGTTCTATCTGACTAGCTATTAGGTACGCAAACAATCTGTACTACAACGGGACGCAACACCAACAATATAACATACTGCTGTTTGTGAGCAAGATCACAAAACCCGAATATTACATTTACCATGCTCTGAACTATTTGTGTTTACGTGAATAATCATGCAAATCAAACGGGAAAAAGTATATGCTCATTGATGATCGCATTGATGAGATTGGTTGGGAGAACAAACCAAAATCCACAAACATGACACTCACCTTCGCCTTCTGCTGCTGTTTCAGCTCTTCCTTCTTGTAGTTGCGCTGGTAGGATGTGATGACACGTCGCAACCGGGTGTTCAGGTCCTGCATCGTGGGCCATATCAGTTCCGGATTGGTCTCGGACGGGGCCGGCGTAGGGGCAGCACTAGTCGCGGTACCAGCTGTGGATTCTTCATCATCTAGATTAGTGTTTATTGAGCAATTGGTTATGAAAACAAACCTACTACTGACACACTACGATGGTACGTAGAATTAGAGAAATGGGGACTTACCGTCTTTGGAGTCGACGCCAGCTGACGAGGAACGGGCCTCCGAGGGACCATCCTCTGGATCATCTTCGTTGTCTCCCAATTTGGAGTTGGCATCGTCATCGGCCCCCCTAGGAGTAGGATAAAATAGAGCAGACAGGAAGGACAGCGTTAAAAGGCGTTTCTACCATTGCCCGAGGAATGGTCTTAAACTATTTGAGTTGGATGAGATTGGCTTATGTTGCATGTGTGTTTATTTGATGAGTGTAGAGCAATAGAATTCACAAATGGAACAAGGAGAGCACAGTGAATATGTATATGGTTAAGGTACTGTTGATGCTTCCAAGCGAAAAATGTTTATGATTTTGTTTGTCCAGGGGAAAAGAGAGATGGTGAATATGTTTGTAAGTTTAGTCACCACTATGTTATTCAGAAGCATCATGCTAAATCAAGATCAAAGCGAAATCACATGGGGAGCAATCTTTGAAGGATACTTACGCTACATAGATTTATGTACTTTATAAGAGATCCATCTTCAGGAAGACATTGGACTTTTTTTTTTGTTATATCAAAACACTCATACTCAAAAAAAAAAATAGGGGAAAACATTCTAAAACACACATTCTAGCCAAAAAGAGAGGTTGATTGAAAATGAGAAACCAGTGTGGTTTCCAGTAAAACATTAAAAAAAAAACTTTAAAGAAGATTTACATACGGATAGGAACAAGGAAGAGTTTGAATTTGTGGCGAGAAAGAAAACGAAACTTACTCTTTGACAACCGTCGTCTCCTCAACGATTCCGTCGCCGGGACCGCAGTGGCTCTGGAAGCAGAGCATCGGATCCGCTCGCATCACGCGGTAGTTTTCGCAGCCATGTTTATACGTGCCGACCAAGAGACTGCGATCGCAACAACTTGGATTCCACCATGAGCACGGCAGCTGGTCGGGCGTCGGCGGTGGGCGAATTGGGAGATCGCTACACGTGTTCGCAATGCACATATACATACACATTCGGTGATGGTCAGAGAGTTGGTTGGGGGGAAGAAACGTTCGAATTTTGTTTTGTTTGGTTTGGTTGGATTTTATTTTTGAGAGAAATAGAGAGAGAGAAAAACAGAAGGGATTTTTGTGGGTGATCAGAAAGGTAATTGATTGTTTTTTTTTTGTTTTTGCTCTAGATCTAGATATGAATGATATAATTTTGCTAATCGTTAATCAATCAACAGAACAGGGGAACTAAAGGTATAACATGTTTCGAAAATTTTGCTTTGCTTTTACTAGGAAAAAGTGAATATAGATATTTACGAGAAGCTTGTGTTTATATCTACTAGGCATGAGAGGAAACGAACTGATAAGAAAAGGATATGACTAATGGAAAAATAAAGTACGGAAATAGGCTGGCCGAATCAGTTCCACATAGCATATTCAGAGAGCAATGGTATTAATGATACTTATAATTACTGAAGGCAACAATTTGGAAACTGTAGCACGGAACGCCCCGATTCGCCATCTGCATTCGCTCATTCGCTGTGGAAAGTGTGTAGATCGTTCATAATACAACGACGTGACATCCGTCGACAGTGTTATGCTGCCGTGATGTATTGTGCATTGCATGATAAATCAGAAAGCTGTGATAATCCTATTCTTACCCTCAAAATAATCGACACGTTATTGTTACGTGAAAAATCACGTTGCGTCTCTCTTTTCCCTTTTATGTCAAATGTACGTGACACAAGCATACACACAAATTCTATGTGCATTTCACGTAAACCCTAAGTGTTTTTCATATATGAAAAAATAAATGAATGTTGCGCTCTAGTTAATCTTTTTCTCTGTGTGTGATACCATGGTATCAAGGAATACTGTTGCATCTTTTTTTTATTTGAAATCAGGTATACATTTTATTTAAACCGGAATTAAAATCATCAAAACACACCATGAATTTCATCGAAAGAATCACGTACACACTTAGTTTGCTCGGCTGTGCAAATCTCGGCAAAAAAAGTTTCACTGAGATCTCAGCAAAAATGACATTGGATTGCTGAGCCTCGGATAATGCTTAGCAGAATCTCAGCAAACAAATGAAATGTTTGCTGAGATCTCAGTAAAACTTTTGTTGCCGAGATTTGCACAGCCGAGCTCGGTAGAAAAAAACTAAGTGTGTAACTTCTTCGTGATCATCCCGTGAGCATCTCGCTCAAAAAATCTGTGTGTGTTTTCACGTAGCATTGCCGTGAAGATTATTTTGAGTGCACTCTAAAAATTATGCACGTCCATGCTACACTCAAAAAATTTATCACATATTCAAAGAATGAAATCCATGCAAATTTCACATAGCTTTCCTGTGATCGCATAGCTGTCCATCCCACCACAAAATGCATGAATATGAGGCCGATGAAATTTATATGATCGCATAAATGTTATGTGAAGTTTTGATTATGGACGAAAATTATGTGCATTTCCAACGGAAGCTTACATGAAAACTATTTTCGGTGCACTTAGCCCTTGAAACTTCCAGCTTCTATCCTTGCCCCGTGATTCACGTAGAATTTATGATAAAAGTTACGTGATTTTCATGTCCGACGATATTAGGTTAATTTCACGTAATGGTAAGTGATTTGCAAGTATGAAAAAATAGAGCGATTCAATATGGCGGCAATGCAGCTTGTTGTGTTAGGTTGTTTTCATTGAAAACGAATCGAAATTTAAAAACCGATTTGCAAATACAAAATTTTTAATAATAATTATTTGCAGGGCAACTGCAACGGATTTGGGTATCCTATGAAAATTATCATGTAAAATCGTGTTGTTCGATATATAGGGTCAGGTGGGGCAATAATTTTCGGTAAGCTTGTTTTCACAGAATTCGGCAAAACCAACTACCTAAAAAAGCATCAACCATAGTTCGCCTCCCCCCCATATATCAATCACCTTTGGTTTGTGTATTCGAACCAAAGAAATAAATTAATTTGAGCATATTGAGTTTAGCAATCTATTTAAAATAATAAAACTTATGACAGCATTTGAGAATGGACTTTACAATAATTTCCACCTGAAAATACCGTCAAAACTGTCAATTGCATCATATAACATTAAGAGAGAATAAATCTACCATAGAATCACGTAGTTCTTACGCGAAGAAAGGGATGGACGAAAGTTACCTATTACCCAACTGTGACGTGATTTTTTTTTTGAGTGTATAATAGAGAAACGGTGTGGATTGAGAGATAATTTTCATAAAATCATTTGACACCAAATAACAGAGAAAAACAAAACAAATTGATTCATTTGGAATAACACAATGGTCATTTGACATAATATTTTATTTGGCATATAGTTATCTGAAAAAAATGCTGCTCGCCTTTGAAGATTAAGCCAAATGGTTAATGATGCCAAAATACCCAGTATTTATTTTAAAGTTTTTCGGTGATTATGCCAAATGGCTAATGGCATAAAAACATGTTAGGCCAGTGAATTTTCATTTTGAAATTCCCGGTTTTTTCCGGTTAAAATCTTAAAAATTTCCCGGTTGTTAATATTCAACAAAAAGCTGGAAGGAATTTACTGAAAGGATAAAAAATGTGATTTATGGAGATTCCCAAGATTTGATACCAAATTTGTGATTAATAACAATTTTCGTGATGCAAGATTTGGAGAAAAAATAATTAAAATGTGATATTTTGAAACAATTTCAAGATCACAGATTTGAATAAAAAAAAAAATACTTATGAGTCGTGGAGTCATAATTGTCACGCTCTTGGAAGCATTTTAAGGGTTATAACAAATTACAGAACAATCTATAGAATCTTGCGGACAAAGCTTGTAAGAATTCAAAGTGTTGATTTTGAACATAGGGGAATTTACGTATTCTCGTCAATCTAAGCAGCGTCTGCACTTCTACTAGCATTTTCTCAGCGTCACGCACATATATGATGTGTCTGTTTGTTTACATTCATCTGCTGCTTGCTTCTCTATCCATTCCAATCGACAGAATTTTTCAAAACGTTTTGAAAGCGTTTTTACAACGCTCCAAACTTCTCAGGTGAGTGTGACTATTGTCGGCAGTCTCTTTTTCTTCGGCAACCTTCCCATTAGAACTGCGTGTTAACCAGCTGTTCTATTATCGGCAACTCGAAATCAACCTCATTTTGTAGTGCGTATGCTTTATTTGAAGAAAAATGTAGCATTACTGGATTGCTCGATCGTTCAAATATAATCAGATTGAAGCTGAAAGGCTAAACAATCGTTTGGACACATTCAGGGAAGTGCGTTGATGGGAAAACATAGTGAAATTAACGTTTAAATTTTGGTTGCCGAAAACAGTCAATGGGTGCCGAAGCCAACATTTACCCTATATTGAGAAGGATTCTCACACCGTTTTCGAAGGAGAAGTTCTGAGCAGAAGTCCAGAATTAGAGTCCTTAGAAATTTATGGATGTTTCTTTATTTATGCGTTTAGATTCACATTCTATGGCATCCCTTTTCACATTCTCAACACAAATAATGCTGGCTGAGCCCCCAAACAGAGTTCACGCCTTTTGTCTGATTGAGGCGGTAGCAAGCAATATTTGTGTTGAGCATGCTAAATAGGAGGGACTTCTGATATGAATATAAATGCATAAATTGAGGTATCAGTCATAAGGTACCGTGGGGCAAGAGGGTAAATGGGGTAAGTGAAAATAATATGTAAATATATTTCAGTGAGAAAGCGTACCATTTATTTCCACGCATAAACCTTCGAAAACATTCAGAACATTTCATTCAGTGTGAAAGTCATCCGATATTCAACCGCTATAGCTAAGAAGAGCAAAAGTTTGTTTACCTGTCAACTTTCACTCCGGTACAAGTTGGTTGCGTGTACACTTAATTTGATATATTTCTGTGAAAAAGATGTCGAAAATACTTTCCTTGTGCATTGGTGAGTTGGTTTTCTTTATAGTTCTTCATTTTATCGACAAAAGTCTAGAGGGTAATCGGTGTTGACAAAAAAAAAGTCAAATAAAATCACCATCAATTTTTAAAGCGGGTGGGGCAAGTGGAAACGTACTGGTTTGAGAATGAGTTTCTTTCTGCTCTCCAGGTAAACATGGTTCGTAATTACCGGAGGAAAACGGCGCGTGCGGGTTACCCAAAACACAACTTGTTCAAGGCGTTGGCGGCTATTAGAAACCATGAAATGTCTCAAACCGAGGCAGCAAAACGCTACGGTATTCCGGTTTCTACATTGAATAATCGGCTGAAAGGAAGACGTGGGGCAAAGAGTTCCAATCTGGGAAGAGACACGGCAATCCCATGGAACATTGAAGCCAAGTTAGCCGCACATATTAAAACAATGGAGAAATGGGGTTTCGGCCTTTCCAAGCAAGAAATCCTCTTGGCGATTGGACAGTATATAAAAGATAGCGGCCTGAAAACTCCATTTAAAAATTTCGTCGTGGGAAATGATTTCTTCAGAGGATTTATGCGACGTCACAGACTATCCCAAAAGAAACCACAAGCGGTAGAAATTGCTCGAAAAAGAAATGTTGATCCGTTCGTTATAGCAGAGTACTTCAAAATGGTCAAGGAAATTACCACGGGTATTCCACCTCATCGCATCTATAATCTCGACGAGACAAGTTTCTGTTTGGATCCATCCCGAGTTAAAGTGGTTGGAGAAAAGGGAACTGCGGCGCATAGGGTAACTGCGGGTCCGGGCAGAGAAAATTTCTCTGTATTGCTAGGTGGAAATGCAGCAGGAGACAAGTTGCCACCACTGATTATCTTCAAAGGGAAAAATGTGTGGGATTCTTGGACAGCTAAGAGTAGTGACGAATTTCCTGGAATGTCCTATGCTGCTACCCAGAATGGATGGATGGAAACGACCACGTTTGAGAACTATTTCCGTGTGTTTTTGAAAGCGATTCCGAAGGCGAGACCTGTTGTCCTTATTTACGATGGACATTCGTCACGTACTTCGCTTAAACGTATCGAAAAAGCTCTGAAAGAACAAGTGATCATACTAAAACTACCCCCGCATACCAGCCATTTGCTCCAGCCGATGGATCTTGCAGTGTTTAAGCCACTAAAACTGAGCTACGACAAAGCAGTCATAGCATGGCAACGTAAGCATTATGGGGTGAAAATGCCGAAATCTGTTTTTTCAGCCATCATTTCTCGTGTATGGAATGATATGGATCGAACCATATTGGAAAGTGGATTCGGTAAATCTGGAATCTATCCGTTTTGCGATAATGTGATTCCCAGTGAAAAATACGATGTAGGTGCCATGTTCGATTAAAGGAAATAAAGTTGTTATCGTTTCCATATGTTGATTAGTATTTATTGGAAATCTGAAAAATGCACATAAATTATGCCAAATATCAAATTTAAAACTGATTTGAAAAACACGACCATTTTTTCACTTGCCCCACTAGTGGGGCAAGTGAAAATTTCGGACACTATTTTCAAAAAGTTGTGTTATTTTTTTCCATATATTTTTGTATAAAAATCAAGTATGTAAGTCTGCACAGATTCGATTGAAGCTAATCATTATAATATACATGACCTGATTAATTTTAATCTGCAAATGCTATGACCCAACAAACATAAACTATACGATTTCCTTTACCCACTTACCCCACTGTACCTTATTTTGTATTGCCAGACCAGGTAGGGTAAGGTGGGCCAAGATGGGTCACATGCCAAGAAGAATCATCTACTTGATTTATACATTTTTTTGTCAATATCAACAGGCTCCATATAGCCCCAATGCAAGTTTGAAAAAGCAAATTATCATCAGGGTTGCATTGGACTTGTTGCTGTTAACTAACAAACAAATTAATAAATGTACTAGCTGACCCATCTTGCCACAATTTAACTTACTTTGTTTTGAACTCTGTGGAAAAGATTTCTATTTTATAGGATAAAAATTTGTTGACGCGACCTTCGCCATTTTGAAAAAAAAAATACAACATCTAAAATGGTCGAATTTTTGTAAAAATGTGAATGGTTGCCCAATTATGCAAAGTTTTATGTAAATCAGAGGAGGTCGAGTTTATCCGATTCGTCATTTGTCGTGGAACTGCTCCTCTGTTAACAGCTCACGGAATTGAACTATTTTAAATTTATTTATTTATTTGCCAACATCAACAGGCTTGATATGGCCCAATGATGGTTTAACTTAAAATTACAATTAAAATAAGTCATAAGTTAAAACTACAAAATATTAAAACATGATCATTGACGGTTTACATTTCTAGAGAAGAATAAAGAGAAACGTCTCCGAAGTGCTTTGTCGTGGCAGGTGAAATCGAACTCAGAACACTAGTAACATACGACAAGGACGTTGTACGCGAGGTGAAAGCGCGTTTCGAAGCTGCAAACATGTCCGAATTTTGCAGATGCAAACCCATTTTAATGTACCCATTCGGTACGGAAAAAAACATCAAAACAAAACAAAAAGATGACTGAAGAACATATGTTTCTTAGATTATATGGAGTAAATAGGACAATTTTAATGTGGCGTAGGATTATAATTCGTGATTTTTATCACGAACATCCTGAGAAATTAAAAAAAAAAAGACCCCTCAATGTAAACTGATAGAGTCTTTCGGGGAAACCAGAAGGACTTCTGGGGAAAATTCTCGAAGGAGTCTAGAGAATCTTGCAGGACAGTGAGAAGAAACTTCCTTGAGGAAAACGCAAGTACATAACTTCAAAAGGAAAACGGATGGCACTTCAACAGGAAGTTGAAAGAAACTTAAGAGGGAATGTCGGAAGCAGCTGAGAAAGTCTGAAAACTATCTTTCAGAAGTCTGAAAAACCCAAACTTCACAGCACGGCCGTTCAATCTGACTCAAATTTGAGTTTCACATTAGATGGTTCGGGAGATCTCTCAAGAACTCGTTAAAAGACCATTTAATCAGCATTAAATTGTTTGGAGACGTTAGCTGGTTTGAAGAACACAGTTTGATTTTTTCGAGTCTAAACTAGTTCTTGTCCACCGAGATCCTTGAAATAAACTTCTTTCAACGTGTTCTTCAGAGATCTCCGGAAACTACTGCGGTTTGATCTAAAAAAGTTGTGAGGTGAATGGCAGAAATTAATTAGTCCCCTTACCATCTGGCTACCCTGTAAGGAATGACGTTCGAGGAAGAGACATTCGGAGTGATGTAGAACAACCTCAACGGGGTTGTGCTATATTACCCCGAAGCGCATTTCCCCCGAACGCAATAACCACGACCCCGAATGAGATTCTGCCTTCTTTTGATTGTTTCTCTTTCTTTCCACATTGGGGTTAACGGAATTCGGTGAAGTTACATTCGGAGTAAAGGAGTAACTGTCCAAAAGAGGTCAAGTGTTTTGACTGAACGGATCGGGGCTTACAATAAATATGTTGGGCATGAATTGAAGCTAGAAACATTTTCTAATTCCTAGGTTTAGAATATTACGATCACGATATTTGTTTTAGGTATTATTATACTACGTTTTTGTCCATCAAGCATAAGCAATTGTAGGCTTAGAAATGCTCGTTTGAAAGAAAACCAATTTAATTAAAATCATTAAAGTCAAAATCAGCGTTGAAATTTGCAAAACCAATAGAAAAAAATGTAAATTTACTTGCAAAACTATGCCAATTCTTAGTGCGTATATCAAGTGTATATTTTGCAAAACGTAAAATTTTAAATTTGATAATCCCAGTGCATTTCCATGATTGCAGCCTTGTTCAGTTTTGAGTGACAATTGTACACACTGAAAAAAATACATAACATTGACTTGAGAAATGTATGGATTATTGTACCTCCAATATTCTTATGAATATGTACAATCATTTGACTTCCCGTAGATACACAATACTAAAATCCCATTGGTTCCCTCGATATCAATAGGCAACTGTTCACAACATATTTTACACATTCCAAAAAATAGCCTTGAGTTAGCGCAAAACTTCACCTACTGCTCGAAAATTTACATGACCCGATGAAGGTGCACAGAGAGTGGTGGTACGAGGAAGAGAAAAGTAGTTAACAATCACAAAAAGTCGACAAAAACACGGAAAAGTTAAATGCCAAGAGAAAACATAGCGACACGATAACAGCGGTGTGAATAAAAAAAAAGGTAGGTACCTAGGTAGGTAAGAGATGAAAGCTGCTGCAAGGGGCGAGAGCTCGAACGTAGTTGAGAGATGATAGAACGACTGAAATGCGTGATTGTTGCATATACAAATACTCAATGCATGTTTAGGAGGGTGGTGTGTGTATGTGTGTGTGTGTGTTTGGTGATGATCACGATTCCAGTAATATGCGTTTGAACTGCGACCGTGGTTAGGATGTACGATTATTGTATGCTTTTGCTTGTTGTTGTTGTATAAACGGTAGTTTTAAGATCGGAGGATTTTACAATTTTTACAAATTGCGTGACTTTACAAATTCCGAGAGCTTTGAACCCAACAGTCAGTAGTAATGATTAAGGAACAGTTATACTCGCAAAAAAGAATCGAATACAATTAGAACATGGCAAAGAGGTAAAGGTACAGCGCGTACGAAAATGAAGGAATGAATTTGAGAGATTGAAGTAACGATTAGCAAAAAAAAATTGATAGATAAAGTGAGCCGCCCCTGGAAGGGCCAAATACCTCGCATTGGCACCCTCGTGAATCTGCATCACTAGGTCACCGAGGACTTCGTGTTTGATGTAGTACAGCATCCGAACGCGAAGAAGCACTCTGGGAATGAAAGAAAAACGAAAATCAATATCTATTCTGGCGAAAGTTTCCAGCGTATTCAACTCACTTGTTGGCATGTCTGGTCAGATGCTTTTTATAGTTGATATCCAACATATTTTCTGCATCATATTTCTCATCCTTGCTCCAGTGGTTGGGATCGGTTGTCGGTGTATTGGAACCGCCCGAGTCCGAACCGGACTTGACCGGTTTTGGTTCCTTATGGGTACCGGATGAGTTCGAAGATGCGTCTTCGTTTACATCAGTGACGCTTCCTTCGCGCTTCAGTTGTGGAACTCCGGCCGGATTGGCCGATTTGCGTCCTACTAAGACAACACGGGTGAATAACAGCACTTCAACGAATGGATTACGGCACACTTACCTTTGGCATTTCGCCCTCTGGGCACCAGGTTGTGCAATCCACTGTGATTGCGAGCGATCTCACGCTGTTCGCCACCCTCCGAAGGGGTGATCAATTCCCAAATGAAATTCTTAATTTTCTCGTCACCCTGATATCGTTCGAGACAGTACAACAGCTATAAAAACGAGATATTGTTAGAATTCGTAAACATTCCCACCAATGCAATTGATATTTGCTATGTGGCTGTTTCAGAAAAAAGTTGAGAAGTTAACTTTGTTTTGCTCAGCGAAAACCTAAAGTTTTCTCAATATTAGCATAGCAATCATCATTAAAAAAATACATAGCCAGAGACCATAATATCATCGTTGAACTTACAATGATACGAGAGCATTCCTCGATGTCCTGCTCACGCCAGCCTCGCTTAAACTGTCCTTGCTCCAGAATCTCCGTCCAGCGAGCCCATCTGTTATTGACGAAACATTGTTTGAATGTCCAATTAAAAAAATCATTCACAAAACCACCCAACAAAACTTACCCATGCGAAAGCAATCCTTTCTCCACCTTGAACAACTCGGACCGAGCCCAGTTTCCGTAGGAAACCTCGTCGAATCCGAGCGCCGCAAGCGTATCCCGATCCCTCGGAATGTATTCATCCTTCTCGACTAGCAGTTTCTTGTTCTTTTCTTTGGCTCGATTCCGTTTGCTTCTGGTCTTCAGGCCGCCGCCACCTTCTTCTCCATCGCTTCCGTGCTCACCGGAAGACTCATCCGACATGTCCATAACTCCATCGTCATGACCATACCGTTTAATCTGGGTGCGCTTTCTCGGTTCCACAATCACCAAATCTTCCGTTTCGTCTTTTTCGCACGCCAAGGGATCGATCTCGGCTTTCTTGGCCCACTTGTTCCAAAAGTCCGGATCGTTAATGTTGATATCGCTTCGGTTAGCAGCTGCGGCAAACGAGGCTTTCGAGAAAGTCGACCCCTTTTCGCTTTCCATTGTGATAATCTGTGTTCGGCGAAGCAAAATAGAATCGATATCTTCTTCGCAGAATTTGTCACCGGCATCGTCATCCATTACGGCTCCATAGGCACCCTTCTTCAAAAGGTCCTCAATTTCCTTCTTCGACATCTGTTTGTTGTTATCTTTTCCTCCCTGTCCGGTGTTCATGCTCTGTAAGATCGCCTTATCCAGACCCAACTTCAATGAAGCCTTATCAAACATCTCCCGTTCGTACGTGTTACGACAAAGTAAACGGTAAATTTTGACCATTTTCTGCTGACCAATACGATGGCAACGAGCCTGTGCTTGTAGATCGTTCTGTGGATTCCAATCGCTATCGTAGATGATAACCGTGTCGGCTGCGGTTAAATTGATACCCAATCCACCGGCCTTCGTACACAACAGGAACACAAATCGATCCGAATCCGGCTTCGAATACCGATCGATAGCCGCTTGTCGCAAATTTCCTCGAATACGACCGTCAATTCGTTCAAATGGGTACTTTCTGTAGATCAAATAGTCCTCCAGTATGTCCAAACAGCGAACCATTTGACTGAAAATCAGCACACGATGACCATTCGCCTTCAACTTTGGCAACAACTTGTCAATCAACACCATTTTACCGGATGAAACAATCAAATTCTTGTAGTACGCTTCGGCATCATCACCATGCTGCTGACGATAATCATACTGAATTTGATCCTCGGCACCATTCAATAAATACGGATGAATACAGCATTTTCTCAACTCCATCATTGTATTCATCAGATTCGGTATGTTTGCCGAGGTCGTTCCCTTCATCAAGAACGAAAAGTTTTGCTCCAGAATACCACGGTAGTACTTCTTCTGGATATTGGTCAGCTCTACTTCGACAATAGTTTCCTCCTTCGGAGCGAGTGATTTCTCGACGTCGTCCTTCAACCGTCGCAACATCATCGGCTTCAACAGGGCCTGCAATTTAAGTACTTCGCTTTCAGTCTTGAGACTGCCAAATTCTCGTAAGAATTCCTCGTTGGACGAGAACTGACTAGGCTCTAGGAAGTTCAGCAGTGAGAACAATTCATTCACGTTGTTCTGGAGCGGAGTACCCGATAGCAAGACTCGATGTTCGAGATTGAGTTGCCGGAGACCTTCCAACAGTTTACAATTCCGATTCTTCAAACGATGGGCTTCATCGATAACGCATGCTCGGAAATTGAACGGCTTAAGGTCTTGATAGTCAGTGACAATCATTTCGAAAGTCGTGATCAGCACGTTGAATTTATTGATATCTTTGATGTACTTTCCGTTTTCGTAACGGTAGTAAACTTCATAGTCCTGAATCATTTGTCGACTGGTAGCCGCACCGTGGTAGACGATCACATTCAGATCCGTCCATCCTTCAAACTCTCGCTGCCAGTTGGGGATAGTGGACAGAGGTGCAATGACCAGGAATGGACCTCGAATACCGTACTCATACACCGCATGGACGAACGTTAAACTCTGGATAGTCTTCCCCAACCCCATCTCGTCGGCCAGGATACAGTTGTTTCCCTTATACCACGAGTATCGCAACCAATTCAGACCTTCCAGCTGATATGGACGTAAATTATTTCCTCCCTTGTATATGGGAGACTCTGGAAGAGCTTTCCATTGATCCGGGTGGGGCCGTTTCTTCGTTTTCCATTCACTCTTTGGAGGAATTTTGTTGAACCTGTAATACTGTTCGATTTTGGGAAGATCTACATCGTCCTCCAGCTCCCAAGTACTGTCCTCATAAGCCAAGCTTTTCCACTTGACCAAATAATGCTTCACTGTCTTTCCATCGTCATCCGTATGCTCGGACACGTCCAGCACCCGGTCCACTTCGACAAAGTCCGGATTGAAGGGCTCCTCGTCCAAGGACTCGAAGATGTTAAGCTGTTGTTGCTGCTTCTGCAGGAAACGCTTGATTTTGTTACCAACACGCTTGTCACCTTTGAGCAACTCGTCCTCAGTTCGCCATTCACAGTGAAGATAGGAAAAGTTACGATACTTGACATAGTATTCCTCAACGTCGACGAACACCGGAGGTTCTTTCTTTTCCTCGGGTTTCTCTTCATCTTTCTTCTCGTCTTTCTTTTCGACTTTATCGTCATCGGTTTTAGTTTCTTCAGTATCCATAGTTTCATCTTCTTTCTTTTCCTCTGAAGCATCTTTCTCCTCTTTCGTTTCTTCTTCGTCTTCTGTTTTATCACTCTCTTGCTTTTCGGATTTCTTATCTTCTTCAGTGACAGTTTCTTCTGAGTCCTTCATGGCCTCTGCAGACTCTTCTGTTTCCATTTTCTCTGGCTTGTCGTCACTGGTTTGGGCAATCTCTTCCTTTTCAGCATCCTCTTCATCACTCTTCTCTTCCTTTTTGTCTTCGTCTGTCTCTATTTTGGTTTCATCGCTCTGTTCTGCATCTTCCTTCTTCGCTTCTAACTCTTCACTTTCCTTTTTCACTTCCTCCTTTTCATCGTCCTTCTTCTTGGTTTCGCCATCAGTCTCTTTTTCAGGTTTCACTTCCCCTTCATCATTTTTCTCTGTATCATCTTCACCTTCCTTCTTTTCGACGCTTTCCCCTTCTTCAGAACCTTCAACTTTCACTTCCGGTTCGGGAGTTTTTTCTTTTGGCGGCGGTGCCGGTGGATCCGGTTTCAATTCACGCTTACCCATTCGGACGGCTAACACATAGTGCACCACCTGTTGCAAAGATAAACCAAAAGTAAGCTTCAACTATCACAATAACATCTATAAAAATACTCACCATCGAATCTTCATCCCCGGTGTTCACATACACGTAATTCGGTTTGTTAGCATCGTCCCCTTTCGGATCACCGCTCGCTTCCGCTTTAGTGTCAGTCGTGGTGACTTCCTCTCCATCCGCACCGATTCCACTGGAACTAGCCACGGCTCCATCCGAAGTCGAAGCACCTGCTGCACCTTCGCCACTGCTGTCGGCATCCTTCTTTTCGGCTTCCGACTTCTTTTCCTTCCTTGTTGGTGGCGTAGGAGAAATGATGCCTGATTCATCATCCGAGAACCTTAGCATAACATCGTCTACGTACTTCTTTCTCTGAGTATTTCGTGCCGACCGTCGCTTGGAACTATCGATTTCCGCATCCGGTGGAGGTGAAGGTGGTGGAGTGCTCATCAAATCATCACCTTCACCGTCCGATTCGGCCATCATCCGTCCTCGGTATCGTGAGCGGCTCTTCGAACTACCACCGCCACCCGTCGACTTCCTGTTTCTAGAACTGGACGAACTCTTCTTCTTACTCTCCCCACTTCCCGGATCCTTCTTCTTACTGCTACTCTTCTTCTTTTTCGGAGTCTCTCCTTCCGTGTCTGCTCCTTCCCCGACACTATCCTCATTCTCTTGCTCTTTTTCCTTCTTTTCGTTTTCCTCCAACAAAGTCTTGATCGGAATTTTGGACACTGGAATGTCATCGAAATCAGTCACATCCTCATTCGTCGCTGAGCCATCCACTTTCGGTTCCTTCTCCGGACCGCTGTTGGCATCGGTTGAATTTTGCGAATGCATCAACGATGCCAGCGTCTGATTCTCATCCGCTTCGCTAGTGGCCTTCGAGTGGTCCTGCTGATCGTGATCCTGGCTATTGGTGTCCATCGACATGGAATTATCCCCTTCGGATGCACTCTTCTTTCCACGTTTCTTCTTCGCTGATTTCTCTGGATCCTTGGGTTCTTTTTTCTTAGGTTCTTTCTTTTCCTTTGGCTCTTTTGGCTCCTTAGCTTTCTTAGGCTCCTTTGGTTCCCGAGGCTTCCGTGGTTTCTTCAGCTTCTTCCCGCTGGCGTCCGTTGATGTATCCAAATCGCCTATAGAGAGATTATCTTGAGATTCACTTTCATTCAAAGTTTCGTTCAAACTTTCGGATGTAACTTCCGCCAGTCCGGTTCCAGCTGTAACTGAGTCTTCGGACACGGGAAGTGCGGTGACGGTTGTTTGTGTTTGGGATGTTTCATCGCCTGAGGTTACCAGCGGCTGCTGTGGCGGTTGAGGTTGTCCCGGAATGGGAGTGGGTGTGACAACTACCACGGCGGCAGCTGCAGCAGCTTCTTGCGCAAGTTTCTCCGCTTTCTTCAGACGGGGTTTCCGTGGCTTGTTGGATGGGGTTCGACCACGACGACCAGTCGTACTGGTCACCTGAGGACTATCAATCATGACAGATGAGTACATCGAGTGACTCTGCATCATACACTGAGGACCACCCTGACATCCATCAGTGGTTTCGTGCTGCTGGAGCACAGCAATGCGTTCCTGCAATCGCATAACTTTGTCTTGATTGTCTGCCATTGGAAGCTTGTAAAGGTCCTGTAGTTGTTGCTGAAGAGCGGCTCTTTCCAGAGCGTGAGATTGATAGGGAGTTTGATAAGGATTCAGCATATCTGGACTCATCATACCGTGCATTGCTGGACCAAGGGGTCCGTGTATCATGGGGGCACCTGGTGGCATATGCATTCCATACATCGGTGGTGCTGGACCTTGACCAGGGCCCATCGGACCATACATCTGCGGATGCATCTGTGGGGGAATTTGAGCCGTGTTGCTAGGTATCGTCGTAGCTGGCGTACTGGTCGATATGATCTGTTCACCGGGCATCGGCTCCGTCTGATTGGGGTACGATGGCATTGCTGATGTCGGCAATGTTGGCGTCGTTGTGGACGTTGGTACCGAATGTGTCTGCTCTGGACTCGTGGTCGTAGTAGAGGCTGTTGTCACTTCTGGCGCTTGGAGTTCAGTCAATACAACCGATGTGATCGGTTCGGGTTCCGTTGCTGATTCCAAGCAAATTTCAGTCTTTTTGGTATCGAACGTTGGTGCTTGATTCGAATTGTCAGAATGGTAAGGGTCTTCCCGCTTGTCGTTCGGCTCTGTATTCACATGGTCTAAATCCATGGTCTGACCTTCCCGAATTGTTTCATCCAGCCCAGTATCTGAATTCAACAGCGAGTTTGCCGTTCCATTGTTGGTCTGATTCATGTTCTCGAAATCAGTTCCCGACATTAACGAGCTTGAAGACTTACTCTCATCGGTATTGGATTCCGCTGGAGCTGGCACAATGCTGTCGCGGGATTCCTCGTTGCTACTATTTTGTTCCGAGACGGAATGCCTCTGTTGTAGACTGTCGGTTTCACTTATCGCTGACTCTGGTATTGATCCACCCGCTCCCAGACTCGACGGAGCTTCGTTAGCGTTACTCGAAGTAAGGCTATCGATAAGACTGAGATCCGTCGACTGTTGCTGGGACTCGCTATTGCTGGCCGGCAGCATACTGTCGACGCTCGGGACTGTTGGCTCAACTGATAGGGTTGAAATTGGTGGAAGTTCTACCGAGGAAGCTGAGCTTTGATGTTGTTGCTGTTGTTGTTGAGAATGAGTTGCTGCAGGCGACATCGCTTGGATCGACTGCAAATCGTTCAGCTGAGCGGCGTGCGAAACCGGTACCGGTTGGTGAGTGACTGTAGGTGCAACAGGGGATGCAACCGGCACCGGCACCGGAACGGGTACTGTGGCACTAGGTATGTGTTGTGATTGGTGTTGTTGATGTTGTTGTTGCTTGTGTTGATGCTGTTGATGCTGCTGCTGCTGAGTTTGAGCGCTTGGCGACATCATCATCTCATCATTAAATGATGGAGATTGCAGCTGCTGGGAAATCGAATGCGACGAAGGAACAGGTGGCGTCGGTTGAAGGGGTGGTGGTTGCTGTTGTACGATCATTGGTTGCATCGTCGTGAGATGCGACTGATGCTGCTGAGATGGTGGTTGTTGCTGTGATGGCTGCTGAGACTGAAGCTGCAGCAGATGTGTGGGTGGTTGCAGCTGTGTCAGCATCGGTTGCTGTTGCGACTGCTGCTGCTGCTGCTGTTGTTGTTGTTGTTGTTGTTGTTGTTGCTGCGGAGGATGTTGCTGTGGAGGATGTTGATGCGGTTGATGCATTGATGGTAGTTGCTGTTGGGGTGGTTGCTGAGGTTGCGACAAATGTGGCTGATGAAGACTATGTACAGGTTGCGGTTGTTGCTGTTGTTGGGATTGTTGCTGAATCGATGGATCAACGAGACTCTTATCATCTAGATTGCTATACTGCAGCCCAGTAGGTGGGCCTTGAGTTGGCGGTATCACAGGCATCGTTTGCGACACAGGCGGTATCAGACTGGAGATGTCGTTCAACTGTGAGATCTGTTGAGCGTGTGGGGGTGGCGGATGGGAGGCTTGTGATACGTGTAAATGCGGCGCATGGGAATGCATCGGCGGTAGATGCTGATTCCCTAGCTGTTGCTGTTGTTGTTGTTGCTGCTGCTGCTGTTGCTGTGAAGGTTGTTGTGGCATGCCGTGGTGAGCACTGCCATTGATACCACCACTACCAGGCCGCTGAACCATTGGAGGCCACTGTTGATGATGCTGTGGGGACATCGGTAACCGTGGGCCCAATGGCGAAAGAGGGTTGTTCTGCATTTGCTGATGAGGAGGCCCTCGGTACGCGGCAGCTTGAGAGTATTCCATACCTACATTGAGCAAATAAAAGTCTAACAATAAAGCACCGGAACGAAATAAAAGAAGCAAAATTCTAACTTACCTGCCGCAGCAGCGGATGGAGGCATCACCATCTGTTCGAGCGCTTGCAGGGTGTTTACTGGCCCACTGGCCGAAGCCGTTGTTAGCTTCGTAACGGGCATCGATTGTTGAGGCCGTGGACTCTGGATGTTACCGCCGGAGCTGGCCAGATGCTGCTGGTGAGGTGACATGGTAGTGGGAAGTGTTGTTTGTGGTGCTTGCGACGTGACATTGCCCGGCGGTTTTGCTGGTGACATTACCGGCCGTGGCGACATTTGCGTGTGCGGAGACATTTGAGGTGGCCGCGGTGACATTTGAGGGGAAAGTTGAGGAAACGGTGCCCGATATTGGGGACTGCTTCCATGCTGTTGTGGTTGCTGTTTGGTGGCATTGGGCAGGTACGATTGCTGTTGTGGGGCACTCGTTCCATAACCGGGCACACTCGACAATGTGCTGTGTGACATTTGATGTCCTCCTAATGTACTAGTACTGTGATGACCTGCGGGCTGTTGATTGGCCTGGGATTGTGACATTGCTGCTCCTAGTGAACCCGATCCATGCATCAATCCTCCACTGGTTGGTTGCTGTGAGTGCACCAAACCAGGATGTTGACTTGCTAGCAAACTGTTCTGTTGTTGGCTTTGTTGTGAATTTAAACTCGTTAACCCAGGATGCTGCTGTGGGTGAGCTTGTGGGTGAGAAGGCTGACTTCCGTGAGTAGGTTGCTGTTGAGTTTGCTGCGGTTGCTGCTGAACAGGTTGCATTTGGCTAGCATGCATTTGCTGTTGCGATTGAGGTGTTTGGCCAGGTATAGGCAAATGTGACTGCTGGGGAGGATGTTGTGGCAACTGACCAGGTGGTTGCTGTTGTGGGGTGGTCATCTGATGCAGACTCGTGGGAACCTGGCTGGCGCTCATATGTTGCCCGTAAGCACTCTGGTCGAGCTGATGTTGAGTGTACACGTGTTGCGACGCTCGACCAGTGTGCTGTTGCATAGTGGGTGCGTACGAAGCATATCCGGTTTGAGCCGTCGCGGTCTGTGGTTGCACCACCGGCGCTCCCGGATACATCGAATGTCCCGCTTGTGGATAATGCTGTGAAACACGTTGCTGCTGCTGTTGGGGTTGCTGTGGTTGCTGTTGTTGCTGCTGAGTCGGCTGCTGAGGCTGACTTAACGATCCGTAACCCTGCTGTGGCATCATCCCACTCATCATCGCTTGCTGTGTGGGGTACTGAAGCTTTGATGCGTCTTGCTGAGGATAGCCGCTCATGTGCTGCCGATAGCTTGAGATTCGAAGGATTTGAAGGATTTTTTTTTTTTTATTGAAAGTTCGGCAAACGTGAGACTTGAAACTTACCTGGTAGGCGTTTGTCGCTGTGTTGGCTGTGGTGCCTGTGGATGACCATAGCCCATGGGAGCAGCGTACGGGTTGGCTTGAGGCGGTGGAGGTGGCTGAGCACCCCACAGACTGTCCCCCATACCTCCCATTGCGGCATTATGATCCGGCATCGAATACATGTTGTCCGTCGTGGCCGGCTGATAGGCAGGATACTGAGACTGTGGTTGCTGCTGCTGCATCGGGTGGGGTGCCCGATGCCGTGCGTATGGTCCACCAGCATTACCTGGTGGCCCCATGCCACGCGGGGCAGTCGGATCGTATCGATAGTAAGCGTCCCTACAGAATTCGACGACACGCGCCCGAACAGAAAGGGAGAAATTAGCAATGTGTATCCAGCCCGAGATAACACCATCAAAACTGAGACATTTATGGATGAATGGCGAGAATTGGATGATATTTTTAGCCAGAACAGATCGTCACTCTACATGCCGCATGAAATCTAACAACAATCGATCTGGCTAAAAATAGGTTAAATTGCTCTCACTCTTGTCTCGAATGTCCCCGTTCGAATGGTTTCGTAATCATGTGCGCGCGGTAAGCTCGACTCTCTGTATGGAATAATTAATTGCTCGAATAAACTACAAAGGTGTACTCACATTATTTAGGTTATAAAAAAATTGCTGGACTGCAACGAACTATCGACGTCCTGTCCTAACTACGAAAACACTACTACCGTTTATCTCGGTAGATTTTATGTCTGCCGTTTTTTGTTGCGAATGCTAACAAAACGTTTAGCAATTTAATGAAAAAATGCTAGCCGCTTCACTTGTTTCTTCTGACTGACTCATTTGCTGATGTCGGTGCTTCTGCTATCGGATAGAAAATCGATTTGCGAAATATATGTAACACATGTTTCAAAGAGTTAATTCCTGATCGTTCTAAATTCGTTGTTTGGTGGTGTGTTGCATTTTCAATGCGATTCTCGAAGCGGTTGATGGTGTTTTTGACCGGTGCAGTTTACAGAAAATAAAAAAAATAAAGGTAAAAGTTTTCAACGACTAAACCACGACGACGTTTTGTTGGTGACGATGTTCAGGCCTGCAACAGAATTAGAAAAGAAAAACCGAAATTAATCACAAATTGAACAGTTGACATTAGGGCGAAAATTTGCATTTGGATCGAGGAGACAGACAGCACCCATGCCTTGGCAAATAATGAAAAAAAAAGAGAAGGAGAAATGAGCAGCATTTGCAGCCCTAAGACCCATCATCATCGTTGCACTCGTCGTCGTGTGAATGTGCTGTGTGGTGTGTTGGTTGATGACGAAATGAAAAATAAATGCAGTTTTGGTGATATGCGCAGTAGTGTGTTTTCTTTTCATTACGCTGATACCCGCTCTCTCTGGTTTGCACAGCCAACACAAACCACCGCACGTCTGGACACTATGGGCTGTGAGCTGTTGAAATGCAAATTCCTTAGGCCAAATGTCACATGGCCGCAAATTTACTAATTATCAGTATTTCGTCATACGTCATCTCTATTGTAAAATTGCAATGGGCTGGAAATTTTCTCCACTTGGAGCTTGGGTTTCTAATAATTGGTTGATCAGCTAACAGTAAGTGAAACTAATAAAGTTTCGTTGTCGCACTTTCAAAATATTGACTCTGCATTCGGTTTATAAGTATTCTATCGAATCAGAAAAACAGATTTTTGGCAGTATTTTATAAAACTAATCACCGATGATAAAAACACTCAGTATTCAAAATTTCAGTAAGGTCCTTTTTCCTTGGATTGTCATCTCGTTCCAGTTTGGATAGCAAAATCTTTTAAAATGCCTGCTTCTGTCGTTCTCCCTCTCTGTCATTTCCTAATTAAAGTGTCCAATATTCACAGGTTTGCATTATTTTTAGAAATGAGTACATATATGCAAGTCTATAAATAATACGAGCATGGCCATAAAGTTTCCACAAATATTTTCGTAAGACAGATCATATATTATTGTGCTATTGGCCTGGTAAACATAACATCACACTAAAATATCTTAAAACGGATTACCAACTATCATTTACCTCATTCACAGTGGGGATTATAGGGATAAAAAAGGATTGTCTGCCGATGAAATCCCAATTTCATTCGGCGCATACTATGGTAGCACTTGTTTACACAATATTCAGGATTACAGCGGCAGTCAATTATAATCTTTTGTTCCTAAAATGCACTTATTTGCTTGGGTTTGCTTCGAAGTCCTTATATTTAGATAAACCTTGATGCAATTTGTGTTATTGTTCATAAAGCCGACTTCTATTGACGAACTCTGATTCTCTAATTCTTAGACCCAATCTTAGATCCATAAGCCAACAATAGGGCTATTTCCCCTATAACGTTGATAGGATTAAGTACATTTTTTAATCATAAATCACATTCCAAATTTTTTTCTTCCTCTCCCATACAATTGTCATCCACTAACCTCGAAGACCGCGAGTAATCGGTTAAAATCCTGTAATTTTAGATTTAAGACATTAATAATGTGTAACGCAAATGATAACTTGGCTCTGTAAAGTTTATTCGACTGAGCCTGTACAAATAAAGTAATTGACAAAAAAAGATAGTATGATCACTAGATAGTCATAATTGTCAATGTTCTGAGACTTGGATGCATTTTTAAGGTTATAACAAATTACAGAACATTATTGCCGACAATATCTGGATTTTTTAGTAAAATTTTAAGTATTCAAAGTGTTGATTTCAAACAAATATTGAGGAGGATTCCCACATAACTTTTGATGGAGAAGTTTTGAACTGGATTCCAGAATTTTTCTGACATGAAATCCATACAAATTGTTAGCTGAATTTGGAGGGATTTTTGTGCAGAAGAATGCAAGTTCTAAATTAAATTCTTAGGTAATTTTAGAAGATTTCAAAAGGAGTTGAGAAAAAGAAAACTTCAGGGAAAATTCCTACGTGATTCTGAGGTGCTTTGTATGGGGATCGTGAGGAAAATGACAGATGTAGGGTGGCCAGTAAATTTTCATTTTGAAATTCCCGGTTCAAATCTTAATAATTTCCCGGTTGTTAATATTCTACAAAAAACGAAATTGGGCGCATTTTTAAGAACGTGCTGAAAGGAATTTACTGAAAGGATAAAAAAAAAAAGTGATTTAAGAAGATTCCTAAGCTTCTGGGGCTTTGAAATTTGTGTAGAGTATAAAACTAGAACCTTTCTTTTTTTTTTTTCAAAATTTGTGATTATTAACAATCTTCGTGATGCAAGATTTGGAGAAGGAGACGAACCAGCCCAGGGCTGAAAGTCTCCTTAATAAAGATATAAAAAAAAATGGAAAACAAATATTTAAAATGTGAGATTTTGAAAAAAATTTAAGAATACTGTCATACTTATGAGTCGTGGAGTTATAATTATCACGCTCTGAGACTTAGAAACATTTTAAGGGTTATAACAAATTACAGAACAATCTTTAGAATCTAGCGGACAAACACTGGATTTTTCAAAAAATTTAAAAGAATTCAATGTGTTGATTTCAAACAAATATTGAGAAGGTTTTCCTCACAATTTTCGAAGGCGAAGTTCTGAGCAGAATTCCAGAATTACAGAATTTAGGATAATGCTTAGCTGAATCTCAGCAAACAAATGAAATGTTTGCTGAGATTTCAGTAAAACTTTTTTTGTCGAGATTTGCATTTGCTCGGTAGAAAAAACTAAGTGTGTAAAAGTGTTCTGGCAATAATTTTCAAACCTAGTGCGAAAGATTTATCACAGAATTCCAACAAAATTAATTGCAAAAAATGCTGATAATTAGAAAAAAAAAATCTTTAAAATACTCCAAGGGGTTCCTAAATAAAATTTCGAAAGATTTCTGCTGCTTTGAAAAGAGTTAAAAGAAAATTTTGAAAAGAATTGCAAAAGAAACAAAGTCTCCGAATAGGTTTAAGGGAATTCTACGAAGGATTCCAATCAAATTCTTAAAATGGGTTTCAAGGGAATTCGCAAAAGAATTCAACGGTAATTATTATGCGGAGTGTTTTCTGGTTAATTTCAGAATAGTTCCATGATAATTCAGAGCATTATTACAATTTAATTCTGGAATTCAAATTATGAGAATTTTGAATAATGGAAAATTAAAACCCTGGAAAAGAATAGTTCATATTATGTTTTCACAAATATTTGTTTTCAAAGTCTAGCATCTTCAATATTTTCTTTTAATGCCCTGCACTCTACATCTGAAATTGAAACGACAAAAATAAATTTGAAATATTGCTGAGTGATTAAATTCTGAAAACAATAATTTCCGTCTTAAAGAAGAAAATTATGCAGCTAATAGAACAAGACATTCATTTGGTAAAGAATCACTCTGTTTTAATAGTTTATTCTGAAATTCTCCCGGCTCTCTCGTCGAATTCCCGGGTTTTTTCCCGGATTTCTCCCGATATTCCCGGTTTTCCCGGTTCGCTGTCCAGCCTGATAAATATGTACAGCCTTTTTCCTCAAAAACAAAAGAAGCGCTCCGACCGAATCCATTATCCCATTCCATTTTTATCCTCATCCATAGGCACAAGTGAATCTAATGGTGTTTAAATGCGTTAGGACGGATTTAGAATTCGTAGGCCGAGTTTGGAATCAAGAAGCAGTGTTAGATTTTTAACAATATTTCAACAATTAGTGGCTCTTTATCAAATTTTACGGTTTGTATGGAAATCTAAATAAGTATCTATAGTATCTATAATCATCTATAGTATAAACAGTCCATTTTGTGTTAAAATCCGCTCGAAAAAGATAGGTAATGTGTGGGTTGTTCTAAGTAGACCCAAATTTAGATCAAAATCCTATTTTAGGGCATTTCATAATTGACTCACCACTGTCAATTCGAAACATAAAAAAATATCTGTTCAATCTTCCAACCTGCATTAGGTAAAATATACACGGTGTATCCAGGCAAAAAATTACCTCAGTGTAATGCACTGAGGTTAATATGAACATATATAGCTAAGTATTTATTATAACACTGTTATTTAACATTTTCAATTAATGTTACTATCAAAACTAAATTAAAATGCCGTTGTACATGTTCCTCAAATGCCTAAAATACAGTGAGCAAGGTGACCAGCAAATCTTGATAAGGAATTCCTCGTTTTTTCCTGGAAGATTGTAAATTTTCCGGGTATACGAATATACATTTAAATTAAGCATACAACTGAATGCCGAAGAGATCGCTAGGTTAAATTGATAATTTCTCAAGACATCAACATATTTCCTGGACCATTAATTTAGTTCTGTGACTTAGTCCTCACAATTTTTCTAGAAAATTTGCTCAAAACTTTATAGGATTTTATGTATTTGTTCTCAAGCATTTCCTTTAGAATTATTTCCCTTCGCAGAGTTGTCTTCAGAATTTTTTGAAAATAATTATAAAATCTTCTCAGGGAGTCTGTTTTTAATTTTTTAATAGCTTTGTAGAACACTCCAAAAATTCATGAAATTCGTACTTAAATTCTCTTCAAATTTCAAACTGACGCTTCCATCGTTTTTATAAACGTTTGAATTTTCCGAAGAATTCCCATGCAATTTATCTCAGAATTCTCGACCAACAACTTAAAAGAACTTATCAGCTTTTGTGAGCAAAACTTGCAATCCCCTTTCCCTGCCAACACCATCCGGCAGGAGAAATTCTCCCGTCGAAAATGCAATTGTATTCAAATTTCGCTCAGACACATATTGGAGTTCTGCATTAAATTCATCTGAAAATTGCTTGAAGTTTTCTAGAAATTATTTTCGAAATGCGCTTGGATTTATCCTCGAAATTTCCTTCATGATCTCTGCAGAATTCCTTAACCCTCCACATTCGATTCCTTTGGTATTCTTTACGAATCCTCTTCACAATCGTCGTGGAATTTTCCAGAGAGCTACTTAAATGTTTTACTCTGAAGTCACACAATAGGCCTTTTTAATGCACCACCAATGTAGAGTGCGCCAGGCGAGTTTAAGAGGAAACGTCAACCAAACCGTTTGTTTACATCAGAATACACATCACGGCAAAAATGTTTGCTCACAACACTCTATTTGACGTTCTTTTATTCATCACTAG